GCGCGATGCGCGCGCGCGCGCGCTCAGGACGTGCTATGGCAAGGAGCCAATCTGGCGTGACATGCTCACATGCAATGCTCAGCATGAGCATGAAACAATTTGATAAGCATGCATGGAAAGAACTGCATACAAGCATGCTAACAATATCAAGCTGCTAGTCATAGAATTTTCAGGAAAGGCGCGGAGCGCTTGCAATTGGTGCGCTTGCAATTGGCGCCACTCCTTAATTTGAACTTGACACAACCATCCGCACGTGTGGTTCTTCCGCACGATAACTATCCGCGGTCGCAAATATCAAATAATTCGGTCCAGCGCCGAGTTGCGAATGGTAACGGTACTCGTGGAGTGGTAATGGCTCGGTAGATCAAGTTCAAGATGTACACTTGCACTAGAATTGCACGGATGCGCGCTTAGCTAGTTGCACAGATGACGGGTCAATGCATCTAATCATGGCCCATGTAATCAACGTGGAAGTGATAACACTGTTAACAGTTCAAGCAACCATGTTTGCAATTTATTGGGCGGACTGCATACAATGTGAGGTGCAATGTACTTTCAAGCTCATTCATTGGGCCAAAGCTGTCGGCTTAACATAGAGTTTCATTTATGGGGCGGCTGGCCTATATACAATGGCATCTTGGGGTGCAAAACGTCCAAGAGTGACTGTAATTACAATCGCAGCAGAGCCTAAAGACGAGGCGCGGGCAGCACGCGCAGCTAGCGCCTCTCGCAAAGGTGGTCAATTTGTAAAAGCAAAAGTGGCAGCCACAAGCTGTGCTGCTCAGCCTCGAACGCAAGCCCTGCGTACAGAGAAAAGTGATGCTTCAGTACAGCAGAAATTCGAGGCATTCATCTCTGTTACACGAGCCAGGGAAAGGCAACAGAATGAGGCAGCCGCAAAAGTTGTTGAGCAGTTGACAAAGGAGCTTGAGGAGAAGAAACGGACCATCCGCAGCTTGCAACATAGAGGGGCAATTTTCAAACGCCTTGCAAGAGCTTTACCAAGACCCCCCAAGCGTGCGCGGAAACTTGAAGGGGGAGAGAGCGACAGAGCCGGATCTAGGGTAGCCTCTGAGGTTGAAAAGTTTCTGTTGATGAGGTTTGCAACAAAAGAAGCTCGAAACCAGGCTCTGTTTGAGCATTACCAGCGCTTCCCAAAGGATTACTCATCAGTGCTAGCTACTAACATCAGCCAAGAGGACTTTAACACCCTCTGTGAACAGAACCCTGCATGGTTGGCGCCTGTGCGGTTGGAAGCATTTGGAAAGATCAAGGAGCACTGGGCAGCAGCGCGCTGTCTCAGCTTGCAAATCCATTGCAAAGTTGGGCATGGGGAGAAGTACCAGGACCTGATCAACACCCTCGGCAAGGAGTTTAACGAGGAGACTGGAAAATGGGACCGGGTGGAGCTGTTTTACCCAGGGTCGGGGCTTCTCATACCTCTGCTGCCGTCAAAGGGGACGGTAGACGGCTTCAGGGAGGAGATCCACGCCAAAAACCCCATTATGCAAGACGAGTCGGGGAAGGCGGCGTGGCTGGACCTGGCCAAACTCGTCGACGAGGCAATCTCCGCTGAGCGAGCGCACGGGTTCCTGCAGAATCGGAAGGACAAGGCTGAGGACACGGCATGGATGCACTGGGCGGGGGACGCGGCCGGCTACATGCGTGGTCTGAAGGTTTCCAAGTGTGGCTTCAGCCTAAAATCCCCTGATCAGCTCGTTGCCCAAAACCCCCGCCACATCCGGACAGTCATCCAGTTTGAGGGTAAAGACGGTTACGCCGAGCACATGGAATACCTAGACCCATTCTGGAAGGTCATTGACGACATGAGCGGGACGGCATCACCGTACAGGGGACCCACTACACCCTGAAACAGTCGCTAAGAGGCGACTACGTCTTCCTCTCAGAAGTACCGGGGCACAGCGGGCACTCTCATACCTGGGGGTGTTTTCTTTGCTTGAAACACAAATGGGAGTACGGAGCTATAGTCTTGGATGCAACAGGCAGATCGAAGGGTTCCGAAGCACGCCGACTTGAGAACCTTAGAAGACCTTGCGGCCGCAGCACACCGCCCTCTTCAAGTGGGCCCCGACAGCAAGTGCCCCTACTGCCCCCAAACCTTCCCTGATCAGGAGACCATCGACGCTCTCCCTGCCCCCCAGTCAAAAAACCAAATCAGGGCGCACGCACTCACGCATTATGGCGTCCGGTTCGGGACACCCCCCCTTTTCAAATTTCCCCTCGCGCTGGTGTACCTCTACATCCTCCACATGCTGCTCCGCCTCGCGAGCATCACGTTCCAACGCACGATCGAAGTGAACCTGAACACGAAGGAGAAGGTTGAAGCCATAAATCGACTGATCAAGCACCTGGGGCTTGGGTGCAAAAAGGTTGAGGTCCGCAAGACAAACGCGTCGAGGGGGAAGGATACAGAGCCGATCAATTTCATTGGAAGGTGAGAAACCTTTGCGTTGATGCTATGCTTTTCTACGTCTACAGAACTCCTCGATGCTGACTTGGACACCGCCAGCTCAATGTTTCCAACTCTCAACGTGAAGGATGTGGGCGCGCTGAGCCTGAGCGCAGGTGCGTGCTGCTCACGTGAGTGAATGTTTTGGAACAAATCCTGGTCTCCCAAGTTGGTGAGAAAAAGATGTGATGTGCTGGACATACCGAGAAAAAAAGAGGTTCGTGTGTGCGTGCCGAATCACTGGCAGTGAGTATTCCCCTGCCTATCGCTTTCGGGTGGTGCAGATTAAGGATACTCGACTTGATGGTCCGTGGTTACTTTTTTACGATCTAATTCTACCACAAAGAAAGTGAAGGAAAAGGAAGACTTGCATTTTCAATACCTCCAGACTATACACTCCGTTGCTTCACCCCGTTGCTTCTGGCCTTGAAAGATCTGCGTGCAACCAGTTTTGTAGAATTAGATCACAGAAATTTCCCAATTTGATCCAAAGCAGACTCAATCTCGTTGTGCAGGGAGGCGTTGACTGCTCTGGATGAAAGGGTTTACGACAAGATGCTGGAGATCGCCATCGACGACCCTGCCAAGCGGGCGCAGAACCGACGGGTATGGAAAGCCCTCGAGTTGTTCAACAACTAACTGCGTAGCCCGCTCTCTAACCCCCCGGACAGCGTCGAGCGGAGCACAAAGGCAGAGCACGTTCAGGACGTTGCTGTGGCCTACGTGGATGCGTTCACAGCGGCGGTGGGGCTCCCCTTCTGCACCCTCTACATGCACCTCGCCATGGGCCACATTCCCCGCATGGTCAGGGACACGCCGCTCGACATCGCCGCCATCTCCCAGCAGGGCTTTGAGGCACTCCTGAAACAAGGGCACCAGGACCAGGTCAACTTCGGCAACCACCAACTTCGTAGTGACAGAATGGACAAAGGCCGCAACTACCAGGTGGGTCAAACCCAAACACTGAAGAGCAGTCGCTTTTGACAAGCATGCAGTCTTCACTGTCTCCAGGTCGCCGTCATCGCCTGAGTTGAACTGTTGTTTGAAGGCTTGCACTGATCAGACTTGGCAATTGTTCTGACAACCGTAAGGTTTCCCAAGCGAACAAGCTCGCCACATTTGAAAGATCTCCACTTGACCTTTTCTATTTCTGTTTCTGAAGTTGGTAGCAAAGGAGCGAGAAAGGCGCGAGCTGCAGAATGTGTTGGCAAGGCCCATCTCCAGAAACGAGAAGCGACAACTCGGTGGTGTGAGTGCCGCAGCACGAGCAGCTAAGGCTGTTGTCGACAGGGCAGCGAGGAGGGGGCATCTGAGTGTTGCAAGCCGCAGTAAGGGCCAATTGGAGAAGCGGTTGGAAAAATTGGAAGAAGGTGCTCAAGCAATTGTCGATCAGTTCCGACTTGGAGGGCCGGGTTGAAGTGGACGATGATGAGGAAGAAGAAGAAGAACAGATCCTCACCGGCACCGAACCTGGTCAGAGTGACCGGCCCCGTAGTGCAGCCTCAATGACGTGCCAAGGCAGTGGTACGCCTCTTGGTGGAGCCACTCCTTCAGCTGCAGCGCCCGCAGCCCCAGCAACGGCGCCCGGAGCCCCAGCAATGGAAGTACCACGTGGTACAATGACGAGTTGCGGTGACGGGGGCGCTGCGGGGGGGGAGCTGGGCCAAGTGGTGGCGACCACTGAAAGCGGGCCAGCGCTTGATGCCGCTGGTACAGGAAGGGGAGGGGGCAGGGGAAGAGGGGCCCGGGGCGCAGGAAGGGCAGGTGGAGGTAGAGGCAGGGGCGGCACGGGGGGGGCCGGCGGAACAACTGCGGGGGGACGTCGTATCCCTGCAAGCGCGCGGATGCACAGGGGTTAGTGGATATGTAGAGAAAGACCAGTACTTGAAGGGAAAAGGCTAGAGAGGATGTGGACAATCCTATACAGTAGTCTGAAGAAATAAAAGCATGGAAACTGGCAGTAGCGGGGTTTATAAACCCTTTGAACATTTGCAATGACTAAGCTCAATCATTCAGACGTGTGCCCATAAGCTTCGGCGAAACTGTATTGAACAAACCCATCACTTGCACAAGGTACAATGGATCCAAGCACTCTATTTCTGCATGCAAATGTATGCATCCACATGCTTCATTTCACAATGCCACAGCTTGAGGAACCTTTCCATGCTCTGAACCAGAACACCACCAACAGGCTTGAGAGTTTGTTGGACTCACCGTCATCAGGTTTCCAGCCCATGTACGGGTTGTAAGCCCATTCGTCCCTGTAAGCTGGAAACGCTGTTTCTCTGGTTTGCACGCTCTGAGATTGGGTTGCCACCACCGTTGTTTGTACAGCACTACGAGCAGGCTTGGGCTGCGGCAAGACGTGCGTTCTGTCTAGATCTCGCTCATCTCGCGCCTGATCAAACGCCTCCTGCGTCTGGTACGCTGTTCTTAACCTATTCTCAGAGTTTTCCAGAAGGCCGTCAGCCAGCTCGTACTCGCAGTCAGACATGTCCCAAGCAATATCTCTCAGCCGCGCCTCGACATGCGGCCTTCCTTGCGCAGGGTCCTCTGCACCCTCTGGCCAAATGATTGTCCCTGCCGCTGTCAATTGAATCCAAGCAAAAGTGATGATGACTCTGGCTCCAGTGAGCTTGCTTTCTATGTGGCTAACCTCAACAGGAGGGACCACCATGAAGATCTCCCCCCTATCTGTCATCTTACAACTTCTCAACCCTTTGTCAAAATTCCAAACCTACAAAAATCCTCCACAGCCCAAGTGGTCTGCAGGATTTTGATGTTCGTTTCCGCGCTAGGCGTGGACCAGCTCTCAGCGTCAAGATCTTTGGAAAAGATTTGTTGCACAATCCAGTAATCAACATGGGGCTCAATGTAGTACTTGACCTTAGCATTGGCTTCAGTGGTCAACCTATTGTAAAGCTTGCGAACCCAAGCTGCTCGGTACTTCCTGCTGTCTACTACCACAGAGCAAGCATCAGGCGGACACTTCACAACTCTTCGCTCAAGGAAACCCTTGCGGCAAATCCTGCACACCAAGCGGGACGTTTCCAACTCTTCCCCATGGTATGGGCAAAATGCAAGCTTCTTGCTCGAAACTATGTTGAGGGGGATCTGGGCCCTTTCCACTGCTTGCTTCTCCTTTTGGGCTTTCGTCAACTTTGGCCGCTTTCTATCAGCAAACCTTGACTCTTTTCTCTTGCCGCCTGGTCGCTTACCCCCCGCCATGCAGAGACGCTGTGTGACTAAAGGAAAGCACCAGGTTGCCTCCCACAGAGCAAACTGATAGGCAGCAAGCTCCTGACTCCTTCCAAAGCAAGGCTTGCTGACTAATGGATTCTTCTCCGTTGACAATTCTGTGCGGTCACTATCTTCAAAACACCCTTAGGAGTGCAGACACCAAGTTTGAGGACTTGCAAAAATTCCTCCAACATGGTGCCCAGGCTTGAATCCGGCTGGTCCCTATGCTGATTCTGGCTTGTGCTGACTGGATCAGATTTGAATGTGTGGACCATGCTCGAAGGTCCAAGCCTTCCCGCTCAAACCAACTCGCATGTGCCTGATGAGGCGCTATTCTTCAAAGGTGCCAAGTTCGAAATGTCGAAAACCACGGTTTTAGGGAGTTCCTGCCTACTTTTCAAATTTGAAATAGCGCCTTTCCTGCCTTCTCTCCAGCAAGCTGACCAGGTACCTTCTTCCCCGTTTTTGGAGCCAGGTCCAGACCGGAGGGGTCAAGTTTACCGTGTAACCAGACGACGTCGAAATATATTTCAGCAAAAAAGAATGGACGGCTATCTGAATGCCGATCGCACGGTTCAATCCATCTGACGGTGCTGATGCGACCGCCCCGGCAAGCAGGCGGGGTGTTGTGGAATTGGCCGTTGTTGAAGAATGCCACGGACCCTCCCCTATTACTCTGTAACTCACGGAGGCTGCAGAAGGGGACATATGATCACTGGAAATCTGGGGGCCAGATTCGTGTGCAGAATAAGGCTCAATGAGCCGTAGGTATTTGTTTATTTGCATCGACGGTGTTCGCAACCCCAGCTTGAAAGATGAGAAGTTTCGATGTAGTGTCAATTGCGGCCTCCTGTGAGAGACTCGGGGAACTTTACACATTTTGTATACAGTACCGGACCCCCGGCCGTACCGTGACGTATGTCAAACACACTCGGCGTGCAGTGAACTACGGTATGCACTGTATAGGTAGGTAGTACCATGGGTTCTAGCAATTTTTTCCCGGCCGTGCATTCTGCACGGCGGGCTCCTCCCGGCCGTGCAACGGCCTTGCCGGCCGTGCAGTTGAGAGCCCCGAGCCGATGACTCTGCCCGGGCTTTCCCCCCCTGGGCCCTGACGCTGCAAACCATGTACGGCCTGCTATTCAATGACATTGATATTTGGGCGTTTCCGCACCATATGACCGATATCAAACCGCATACGACGTTAATGGATCTGCATCCAGGACCCGGGTTTCTTTCAAACCCCCAAGGAGCATCTTTGGAGGCTTTTCAGCCTTGAAAGAAGATCTTTACCGTTCAAAAGGTTCCATCAACCGCCACACATGAAAGTATAGTTGCGGGTATGATTCAAGGGGGCCAACTTCCAAGGTTCTGTAAAGCCGGGCCGGGTCGGAGTAGTCTAATATAGCCGGACAAATGTGCCCTGAATATACCTACCGTACTCGAATCATCAGGTACTTACTATTGCCGTCAGCGGGACAACTGGCCGGAACAAGGTCACCGGGCCTGCACGGCAATCTGCACGGCGGGCTTCGCCCGGCCGTGCAGAAATTCCCCCGGCCGTGCTATGCACGGCGATGTGCACGGCGCCAGAACCCCTGGGTAGTACTGTGACAATTTTCAACACGCTCGTACGGTCGACCAGATTTACGGACTTGCCTCGACGACGGATGTAAAATCATAACTTTATATCTCAGTTGGACGCGATATTTAGTGCATTTGCCCTGAGCTAGCTCGGAGAGGACGCTCGATTGAAGGTTTGATTATAGGCGGCAAGTACTCGAGTTTTCTGAAACCGCTGAGCCGGCCAAAACAGCGCGGTGGGCTATGGACCGGGAGGCTGGTGGTGACCAAGTGGTGTATGTAGTAGTGCCCGGTCATGCGGCCGGTAACTATATGTAGCTCGGCTGACGGCCGAGCCGGCGGCCGCCTCTTGGACACCATGGGCTTCAACCCGTGGGGCAGGTGTCGGTCTTTAATCCGATCTTATCTTGCAAACGAATCTTACCCAAACTCCCCGACCACTTACCCTTTTCCATCAAGCAAGTGACCGGGCATAGTAATAGGGGCGGGATTGCACGCTTCCTCTACAACGCTATCCGGCGCAGGGTGCATTGCCATCGTGATTGCCACTCTCTACATTCAGAAGCTGTGAATATGTACTAACATACACAGTGCGACGACACTCACTTGGTTCGCACGTGTCTGAGAGAACCACATGATTGATTCTCCGCTAGCTTCGACCGCGAGTCACTCGAACTTTCACATTTACTTAGTGAATCCGAAAAACCACTTGCCGAATGGCAAATAGGTAATGTAGCATGCAATCCGAATGGTAGATACGTGTTTATCGATTCGGATTCATACCTTTGCACTACGGTATATAGTCACGGGTACTCACGGAAGCGCCGTCTTACTTCCGACCTAAACTTTAATTTGTATTTGTTTTTTTTGTATACAGTGTGGCTGAACGGTAAAGGATCATGATTCTCAGATGACTCAACATTGATTCAAACCAGGTGAGTAGCTTTGAAGTATCTTGGATGGTGAACAAAGGAACGCAGCTTAGGATTGATGAATTCGCGCTCTGATTTTCTGGCGCATAAATAAACGGGGATTGCTCATGAGGTTGATCCGATTTTGGGGATTGGTTCAGAGTGCCAGGACAACATCGTGCCACCAGAGTCTTCCATCGAACCTGGTGGCCATAAAAGCATCCAAACATGTAAGCCGTGAATGAACTGGATCATTTGAAGCCCAGTTGGGGCTCAGTTGAGTTGCCACTTTTGACCCTGGGCATCGTGTCAGAACACCTTTGCAGCGGTGCACTGAACTCCGGTAAAAAAACCGACTTCCAGGGGGTCTGTTTGAAGGTCAACGAGCATCTTAAACCGACCTCCGGGGGGGGACTCCTTCTAGGCAATGTTTCGACCCCTAGTAGTACGATATCTGAACCCATCTTTTCCTCCCCCTTATCTCTGATTTGGCTTGCAAAAGGTGTTGGGTTTTCTTTTAAACCACGTCAGAGACTTGTTCCGGCCACGTTCCGTCGAGTATTGGTTACAAAGCTAGCCGAAAACCTGTTTAAAATACCTCGTGGTTTTAGAATTTGCAGTCTGTATTGCCGGAAAGACGACCCCCGAAACGAGTCGCTCAGTTCGCTCCTCTCCAGAAATGGATTGAAGTAAGTTTCAAAATTAACTCCTCAAACCAGTGAAACCACCTTTCATAACCCCGCCCCAAAAGTAGAGTCGAAGAGGGATAATCAAAACCGGCTTCCATACCCCGTCGGACGGATTTGGGTTCTACTCAAAACCGGCTTCCATGCCCCCCTCGAAACTTTAAAAAACCGGAGTTCAGTGCACCGCTATAAAAGTGTTTTGACACGATGCCCTGGTGCTATTCAATACTAGGAAAATCGCCCAAAATGGCTCAAAAATGGGATTTTTAGCCTGTTTACCTACCTGGTCGAAAGCTAGGGTCATTATGAAGATGAGCTTTTTAGCAACTGAGTCTCCCACTGAATGCTGTGACTTATGCCATGCTCACTTTAAGGTTTAGAAGCTCAGTTTGTGGATTGATCATTGGTGCTCAAATTGCTAGGGCCACCGGAATTTGCCACACAGTGTGGCTGAACGGTAAAGGATCATGATTCTCAGATGACTCAACATTGATTCAAACCAGGTGAGTAGCTTTGAAGTATCTTGGATGGTGAACAAAGGAACGCAGCTTAGGATTGATGAACTCGCGCTCTGATTTTCTGGCGCATAAATAAACGGGGATTGCTCATGGGGTTGATCCGAGTTTGGGGATTGGTTCAGAGTGCCAGGACAACATCGTGCCACCAGAGACTTCCATCGAACCTGGTGGCCATAAAAGCATCCAAACATGTAAGCTATGAATGAACTGGATCATTTGAAGCCCAGTTGGGGCTCAGTTGAGTTGCCACTTTTGGCCCTGG